CAAGTTTAACATGACAGCAAATGTACAACGTTTCGACAAGGTTGTACATTTGCTGTCATGTTAAACTTGTATTAAAGTTTTTCTTCATTACCCATTTAAGCCGTCTCCAGCCATTATTAGTCTCAAAGTGGGTTCCTCGTCATCGAATCCTGAGATTATCATCACTGTTTGAGAAAAATATATACACACTATTGATACTAAGATATCTAGTGTATTGATAGTAAGCGCGTGGTACCACAACTTCATGGAAGCTAAGAATTGAAATAATGAGCTATAAACTGTGTACACTAAAGATAGAGGTTATTTATTTATTAATTCTAATACGACTGATAAACTACTCCAACTTAGAAATGTAATAATTGATTGTTATAAGGCATAAAAACCACACAATCTTAAGAAAACGTTGGTTTATAAATTAACATAAATACTGTGTTATTTCACAATAACAAAAATTGTGTTTTCTAAGCACAGACTTGTGTGAACTATGACACGATAGAAACATACAAGATTTTTGTGTTCAATTCAAAATCATGCTTATTTAAACTAGCTGAGAGTAGGAAGCAAGAACTGTATAAAATACAATATTAGATAATATTCCCTTTCCCTGTTTCTTTTGTTATTAATTCTCTAATGACCTCATTGCAAACCCTGTTTTTGGAAGGCAATAATTGATTCATTTAACTGATTAAGTACGTGTATTGTTAACAGCTCAAAGCCAAAAAACTGGAAATGTGCCGTTTTTTTATAACCCTTCTCAGTTAAAAATACCCATGTATACCGTTGGACAGTTTCCAGTCACTATATCAAAGACCCCAGTGACATAGCGGTATGTCTGCGGACTTACAATGCTAGAAACCGGGTTTCGATACCTGTGGCGGGCAGAGCATAGATAGACCATTGTGTAGCTTTGTGCTTAACTTCAAAAACAAACAAACAATACTTTATCAGAAATTAGGGTAATCGGGCCACCCAACTCTGGGTGATGACTGATACTCACTGACACTCACACACGCACATAATTAATCATCTTTTTTTGTAGATACATTGTTGTGTTTGGAAGTCACATTTTATATAGGTGTATGTGGATTACCTAAAATTCAACACAAAGAATATGCCTCAACCAACACATTTATGTTCTGTTTTGTTAGCTGACGATGACCTTATTGTTTTTCACTTGAAATTTGAGTTGTAGCCATTCTAAAACCAGACAGAACACAAGTTATATTGTTTCTACCACAAGTTGTTTTACGTTGTAACAAAAATTATTGGATAATGTAGTAATTTCTCTTTTACCAGCCTTATGTAAGCAACATATATATATATATATATATTAGAACTAGTATAATTTTACATTTTAATACGTTTTTCTATATTGTTTCGTGATAATGTCAAAAACAGATTAACTAAGGGAGACAAAGTTATAATATTAGAATTTACTGAAATGTTTCCAAAAGTTGTTTTAATTAAAAAATTATGAGTTTGCTTAGTTACCGATGTGATCATATATGTTATGAAATATTTATTACAGAACAACTCTGGTATGGAATATTATCAAATATTTAATAGAGAACATCATTGGTATGGAATATCATCAAATATTTAACAAAGAACAACACTGGTATGGAATATCATCAAATATTTAATAGAGAGCAACATTGGTATGGAATATCATAAAATATTTAACAGAGAACAACACTGGTATAGAATATCATCAAATATTTAACAAAGAACAACACTGTATGGAATATCATCAAATATTTAACAAAGAAGAACACTGGTATGTAATATCATCAAATATTTAATAGAGAACAACATTGGTATGAAATATCATAAAATATTTAATAGAGAAACTTGAGGCTTCCTCTGGTATGGAGTATCAAAAGCATTTCAATAAATACATAAAAACTAACACTGTGGACTTGCAGTAAAAAATAAAAAGGAAATATTGTTGTTGTTTCCCATTACCATGTTTAATACATTGGTCAAGAACGTAAATCCTGACACAGAAAACTTCAACATTCTCTTTGAGCCTTACTTTATAGTAGTATAACAAAATATTAGTTTTCTTGAATTTATTTTCTTTTTTTTACTGAGTTTCGACAAAAAATTAGTTTGTAAACACACTCTTGATTTCAGAAAATCTAAAAAAATAGAAAACTAATTTACAAAATCAATATTATAGCCACTTTTTCATCTTTCTGATGTGACATTTTGTAGGTTAATATAAGACTGCAATGAAATCCTCTCTTGTGGCTCAGAGGAAAGCTTGTAGACTTGTAGTTCTAAAATTCAGGGTTTGATCCATGGAGCTTTGTGTTGAACAACAAACAAAGCAAACACAATCAATTCTATAGACGAAACTGTTGAACTGAGACTTACTTGCTAGACTAACACTTAAGTTAGCATTGAACTGAGACTTGCTTGCAGGATTAACCTTCAATTAACCACTGAACTGAGACTTGCTTGCAGTATTAACCTTCAAGTTACCATTGAACTGAGACTTATTTACAGGAATAACACTCAAGTTACCACTGAACTGAGACTTATTTACAGGAATAACACTCAAGTTACCACTGAACTGAGACTTATTTACAAGAATAACCTTCAATTAACCACTGAACTGAGACTTGCTTGCAGTATTGACCTTCAAGTTACCACTGGACTGAGACTTATTTACAGGATTAACCTTCAATTAACCACTGAACTGAGACTTACTTGCAGTATTAACCTTCAAGTTACCCCTGGACTGAGACTTATTTACAAGAATAACTTTCAAGTTACCACTGAACTGAGACTTATTTACAGGAATAACCTTCAAGTCATCACTGAACTCAGACTCGCTTGCTGAATTAGCCTTCTAGTTTACTGATTTGCTTCATACTGTTCATTACAGGCGAGTTCTATATATTACATCACATTGAGCGATATTTTGTTTTTGCCTGTTACAACCCTCGGTGAATTGACGAAAGACATTGAATGCATGGTGCAATAGTTAATTGTACATACAAAATCAATACTGATGGTAGGTTTTATTTAAGAAAATGTGATTCATATGTTGTAAATAACCCTGTAAACAATACAATCATGAACCCTCAAGCTGTTGATGCATAAATAATTTAGAAAAATGCGTTTAAAGAGGCGATGGAGTCAATATTCTATGGTTGAATAAAATCATTTATTATGGACAAATTGGTTGTCTCCCTATCGGTTTATATTAAAACTGTTTTATGTAAAGAAATCCTTAAAAATATGTTTACTCTAGGAAAAATATTATATTATCCCGGCATATTTTGTTGCCCTTATCATCGCGTTTGTGATCAAATATAGAGTCTATCTTCTCAACTGATATCGCTATACGATAACTTTAATCGCCGTTGATGTCTGTTCAGTCGATTTAACCATTATCGCGTCCGTTTAATAACTTGTCGTTTCCACACTGAGAAACTGAACGACTAAGCTATATACAATGATGTACAGGCGTCAACAGGACACCGCTCAACGGTGAGACATTGAAACACAAGCAAGTTACTAGCCAAGCCATGTTTTGTGCCAACATGAGACACGTGATTCTGTAATTATAGCATAAAAAAGGCAATTTAAGAGTTTCATTGCGCAAGGTTTCTAGTTCTGTATAATAATTTTACATAGGTATAATGCTACAAACTTGTTTATATTCTTCAATCTCTGAATTCAGTCAAGAATACGAAATTATAACAAAAACAGAAGAGTCAGTTTATAAAATTTGACAAAAACGTACATCTTCAAGGTCTTGCTTGGCGTCCAAGAGGTTACGAATATACTTTTTTTTTAAAGTGGATTTGAGTGTTCATTATCCACTTATTTAAAATACAGTTAAACTTCCCTTCAAGGTATGGCCTAGTGGTTAGCGTGCAGTAGGTCCGAGGTTCGAAACATTATACCACATTTTCAGCTACTGGCGTGTTACAAAAGTGACAGTCAACACAATTACTGGGTTCAAGGAGCCCGAGAAAATCCTTGTGGCGGCGGATGCTGTTATTTGGCTGCCTTTTCTTTGGTCAGGGCGACTTCCCCTGAATCTACGAATCGGCAGGATCGACCTGAACCTAGATAATGTATAACGTAATGTTTGTAGTAAGTAATGAGCAGAATGATATATTGGGATACTGTTATGATGTGTGTATAAAAAGAATAGAGCATCCAGTTGAGAGACTGGAACTTACGTGACGAGATCTAAGTACAACGTCTTGTGGGAATTGGAAGATAGTCACAAAAACACCCTTCTTTAGTCTTATAAGACTTTGAGTGAAAGCACTACACTTGCCTATCTTAAGCATTTAATTGAGGGTGTGAGAAATCAATGTAAATGTTACCAAACTGTTAATTGTAACGTATGTTCAATCAAATACTACCCACTCCATCTCAGCACACCATATTCGAATGTGACAAATATTTCCATCACTGCACATCCCGGATAGAACTTTTCAACTACTTTAGAAGAGTGTCCGCATGAA